AAAAATCACACACACAAAAGAAACAAGTAACACCAAAAAACCCAAACCAACACAAGTGTAGGAGAATGCAGAGATGAGAAGCCATATTATTATCAGGTTTTATTGAAAGAGAAGGATATGACACCATATTGTAGGAGTTGAGTTCTTACTATTTGTAAGTGTTTGCAAGGGAGCTTATATTCCTTCCACGTGTAAAATGATTTAGAAAGAAGAAAAAAGAGAAAGAAAGGGTTAGTTGAAAATAGATAACTGTGAAAGAAAGAGACAAAGGCAGAAAGCAGGAGAGTTTTAAGGAATGATCTTTACAAAATTCGGAGATGATCTGGTGGGTGATCAGAATTGATAACTGAAGCTCAGAAAGAAAAGAGAAAAATGGAAGAAGTTTGTGTTGTTCCTCTTTTCTCTTTACCAGTGATCAGTGGTAAAGCAGAGGGGAAGTGAGGAGGTGGATGTACGTGTGCCAGAAAATGGAAGATATGGTTAATGGGATGAATTTGAAAGGGCTGATCTAGTAGGAGAACTTGAATTAAATGCAGTGACCACTGAATCAGCAGGGGAGTCGTAGCCAGCTGGAGAAATGTGACAATAAGAGCAGGAGGGTCAAAGAAACCAGTGTACCAGGGGCCTAAAAAGAGTTGAAAGGTGGAACAGTTAGTGAGTTGTGGAGGGATGATTTATATGCATGCTGAGTAAGGATCAGAGTATTAGACTTGGTGTCTGAAAAACAGAATCAAAAAGAAGGTTTAGTGAAAACTCACTAGAGATCTGCTAAAACTGAGCTGGCAATTTGATGTGAAAGAAGCAACAAGGAAGCAGGGACAGTGAGAGAAGACAGGCAGGAAATTTCACCTAAAATAAGCAGATTGGTGACTTAGTTGAAGAGCCACAGTAGATTGCCACATGGCTAACACTGTAATTATATTTGCTGCCACTATGCAAAACACTTCTCTATATTAATAATCTAAAATATGCTCCTCCAGTCAAAGAGGGATGTCCTTTCTGAGCTCCTAAGTGGCGGTCTTACAGTGCTTTGGCATCACATTTTATTCTTACTTATTGCAGAGTGACAAAGAAATGTCACTGAAATAAGTTGTGCTACATTTTTATTTGACAGAAGCAAGGAGGGGATATGGCCTTACGTTAAATAAGCACAAAAAAATGCATAATACATGTGCTTGTTAGTTGTAAAGCTGACACTCTTGTTCTCTATTTCCTCACTGCTAAAAGGAAATCCTCATCTTTACAATTGTGCTGATGTTAAATGACAGACATACAAGGTTTTCTTTTTTTTCTTTTTTTTTTTTTTGTTTGTTAAAGCAGATAGGAGATGGAGATATTGACAAACTTCTAAGGAGAGATTGTAACTATTTGTAAAAAAAAAACTACTGCACCAAAAAAATGTGTCATAAGTGCCTCAGGACTTTTGTAATGATTAAAAATGTAATACCACTTTAAGTAAAGAATTATAGATCTTCTAGTACTTGCATGGCAGGATTTTAAATGAGAGCTGCTGAATGCATTGTTTTTAGTGTTTACATACAAGTTTGTTCTGGTACTGGTAAGTTAACATAAAGATGTCTTTCCTTCTCAGCATACGCAGGTACAACAGCTCAACACAGACTCTGCTGTTTCTTCAAGTTACTATATCCAGCCACCAGCACACAGCTTTTAACTGAAGGAAAATTGAATGAAAGTCTGTGGCGTGAGTGGTTTGGTGGGTGAGGACATAAAAGTTTCAGTTTTAGGAATCCAGTTAACTCTAAACAGAAGTCTCAAAATGAATCCTTTTTTGCAGAACTAATATGTATCGTAAAACTGCCATACAATTTTCAGTGAGACGTGCAGTAGTTGTTACTGTTGCTTAAAATGGACAAACTTGCATGCTGAATGCAAATCTTTTCTCCTTTAAGGGTGTGAATTAATTTTTAGTAACCAGTGGAAATTGTAAGTATATTTACTGGCTAATATCTGAAACACATTCAGCTTGTAGGTAATTTGTAGGAGGTGAAGAACTCAGAGACACCAAATTGCACATTACTAAACTCCATTTTGAATGAGGGAACTGCAAAAGACAATCTCAGTTACATATATATTGCATAAAAATGGAATTGTTACATGTGTAAGGAAAGTACAAACTTAAAAAAAAAAAAAAAAAACTTACACCAAGAGTTAAAAAATTACACAGAACTCAGTGAGTTTTAGAATACTCTTCTCTCTCCCTCCATTTTAAGTCCCACCAGTTATCAGATTATATAGCTGTATGTTGAGTAGGACCAAACTGCTCCATCTGCAGTGTCACAAGTATTAAATGATACCATGTTCTAATTACTGATAGCATAGTTCTGCTGCAAGTTGGAAATTAGCTAAATGGTTAATTATGCCAAATATGAATAGAAATTGGATTAAAGATTTTTTTTTTTACAGTCGAAGTTATATTTCAAATGTCAAAAGTCTACTTTAAAAAGTTTTTATTAAACCTACATAGAAATCTAAGAGCACAGTTATGCCCTTTATTTTTCCATAGAAATGTAGGTATTGAACAGTCATTTAATTAAAAATGATGAGATTTAATAATATAGCCTGATTCTCAGAAGTTTCTTATTGCTTCAGAAAGACAAGATTAAAAAATTGTAAGTGTGAAATCTAGCTGTTAGCTAGATTTAAAAGAAAAAATGGATTACTTACAAGGAAAATATGTCTAATGTAGACAGTTTAGCTGTTCAATTTATATATTTAAATATATGGCATATTATGTACCTAAAAATATCCAAACTACACCAAGTCAAGAAATTTCTCGAACTGCATATTTCTGTGGGTCTTGGTCCTCCACTGCATTATTGTTAATTGATATTATTAATTATCAAGGCATGGTAATATGGGACTTTATTCTAAACTTCTGCCCGCACAAGAATTCCTTAGATCCTGGTCTTGATGTGGCTTATGTATTTTGCATTGCAGATAGAACTTTGAAAACCATAAAAGCAAAGCAGTCAAATCACTTAATTCAGAGCTGACAAAATAAATGGAAAAGAGGCCATAAGAAATGCACTTCATTGCTAGACTACTGAAATAAAAGAATGTTTATTTCAGATACCTATTTTCATTTGGCCACTTTCAGAGCAGTGAAAAGGGATACTAACAGAATTTTGAATAATTCTGAATAAAAACTATGCAAAAGTGCCCATAAACTGATACAAACTGGTTGTGAAGGAAAGGAATTTGATAGGTGCAAGAAGTGTTCCTTCTGAAAATTTTGAAGCTATAATAAAATAGACATTACTCAAATTCTATATTTTCACTCAAATTCTTTGCAAAAACACAGCCCTTGTGGCCAGAAGTTTTCATTCATTGCAGACAAGTAATAAGTCTATAGCAAGTGGCTTACTCACCCATTCCCACCAGAAATCCTGCAGGAAGAAGTAAAGATATCACAGGAAACTTTTCCTGCTAAGAATAATCTGGCTTTCTGCCACTAAAAGAGGACAGGGAATTATTTTGGGGACAGATTTTGAATTCTGCTGAACAGGACATGGGCCAACCAGTTCTGAGTGACAGGAAAGGCTTCACGTCTACGTAGGAGGTTTAAAGTAAGAGAGGAAGACAGATGATGGTGGAAGAAATTATATAATTTCTTTTTAGTCCTAATTCAAATATATATATGTTTTTTTCCTCTTGTCAGAACCTCATCCTCCCCTAACAGAGGAGATGTGGAGGATCACAGAAGAAGCAGAACAGTACAATCCTATACACTAGTTTAAGGATAGACTGAAAAGTGATGTAGATTACTGTAATCTTTGCTGATCTATGGTGTTGGATTGTGACATCTTGCAAACAGGTGGAATGATGCCTATTATGTTGTATGCCATCTCAGTTTACACATATTCTTTTTTCCATTGCTAATCACAAATGCATGAATAATGCAGGTGCCATTTCCAAAAGTCTCATTTCAACAGCATTCAAGTTATTTAAAAATTGGAAACTAAAACCTTTAAAATCAGTAATTTAAGTGTGTAGCTAGGGTAATCAATAGCATGATCAAAGTTTTATTGATTTCCAAGGAAAGACCACATTCTTTCAATAGTTGCTTAGGTGCTCTGATAAAAGGACTTGTGTAAGACACATAAGCAGTTCTTCAGAAATTGCTCTGAATGTTTTGCTATTACAAAAAAATCGTTGAAAGCTACATTTGTGTTGAATGGTTTAAATCTTAATGTGATTAGATATTAAACTGATTTTTCTGTAAATACTAGAGCTTAACATTGAAAAACTTGAATTTTAATGAATAAGTACCAGTAAGGGTAGATACAACTTGCCCTGCCTTGTTCAATTTTTAAAATGTAATTATAAGGTGTCTCAATCATTCTGATGTTATTTCTTTGATACTGTTATCATTATATTATGGTAACAACATTCCATATGAGAGAGAACTGAAGCAATATAACTCACAAGTAAACTTTTCTTGCATTCTGTAAACTCTCCCAATTCTGTAGATAAGCAAAAAGCTTCTAAAAATGCCATCTGAATGCCTTACAGCACTAGTTCTAAATCTTTCTCACGTGTCTTTTAGAGTGCATTTTTTCAGCTCCTTCTGGCTGGAGGACATTCTAACTTTTGGAGTGAGGGGAAAGTGCATGCAGTGCTTTCCAGGGAGCATATCATTGGGGGCAGCTATGAGACAAGGAGTTTCAGCAGGGAAGGTGGTGGTAAAGGCATGGAGAGGACTCAGGTGACAAAGCAGGACAGCTGAACAGTTGAGGACTGGTGACACCATCACAAGTACATCTGCTGAGCATTTCAGACTCAGCAGGGTAACAGAGCTCACAAAATAAACAATATCCTTCAAGTCTCTGCTGCTCTCCTGAACATCGTTCACTGACTTCAGCTCCCCCAACAACATCCATGTTCTGCTCTCTTGCTGCTAGATCACTTCCCAGGACCATTCTATCACCCTCTTGAAAGTGCGATTGGGCCTGTCTGACTCACAGAGCACAAAATCTTACCTCAACAATATCTGAATTCGTTCGACTCTCATGTGGCTCATTATACTCAGTATACTTCAGCAGCACTTTGTCCATATCCGTGCTGGCATACTGGAACAGTTTGTTGGTGCTGTTGAAGATTATTAGAGCAATCTCGCAGTCACACAGAACACTCAGCTCATAAGCCTTCTTCATTAACCCAAATTTCCTCTTTGTAAATGTCACCTGGAAGAGAAGCAAAAAAAGGCTGTAAAAAATGCCCAAGTTGATCTTTGCAGCCCCTTTTTTTTTTTTTTTTTTTTTGAAATATACATATCCGCAGTAGTCTTTGAATTGAGCAAGTTCAGAAGGAAAATACATACATACAAACAGAGTTTCAAAATAGAATATGTTTGTTATGCGAATGAGGAAACGTATTTAATACTCACTGCACAATACTCAAGGTACAGGTAAAAAGAATGGCACATTTTCAAGCAGCACTATGTGGTGTTGGTGCTACATCTTTCTGTGTAAATTTTTAACTCACACAGCTATACCTTGAACACCTTGTGCTGCATACACCTTTCCCATCAATGTCTTAAAACTGCAGCTTAGATTTGCAAAAGCAAATAGCTTGAACACATGCAGTAAATTTCTATTATTGATAGCAAAACACTTAAATCAATTCCAACCAACTCCTAGATTTTCAACACAAGGAATTATTTTGTACAGAATTTAAGTTGTATATAAAGATAAGTTGTTCAGACAATTCAAAATACTTTTGGAGAAATATCTAAGATAACATAAAAAAATTAAGTACATCTTATTTAATGCTTACATTTTCATGTGAAAAATGAGAAATATAAAATAAATATAAAAACACTAGTTGCCAGCAACAAATATCTCTGAAATATGGCCTCTTCCTATGCACAGGTGTATCATATTTTATCTCCTTTCAATTTAGATGTTGAGGATATGAATTGGCATTTTTTAATATAAAGAACTGTGGATCACATTATGAAAGCATGGACTTACTGTTCCCATTAGGTTAGCTTGTGCACTGACACCTCACGCAAGCCGAGGTAGTAAGAAAAGCATCTCTACTTATACTTGACTATAATTCTACACAGAGACTTTTTTGATTAAGAAAGAATCTGTACAACAAATACATAAAGGTTTTTCTTCCTATCTTTCCTGCACTTAACTTACATGTTCCAATAAGAAATGTCAGTGTTTAAGCTAATAGTATGCTTGACTGTTTCCCTTTCCCTGGTAATTTTCTCTTTTTTTAGTAATTTTCAGTGATGTTATTTTTTCAGATAAAATATGGTTTTGCTAAACCTATTACTAACCAAATTTAACATGTAGGCAAGGTATTTGATATAGCAAGGACAGGCACTCAGCAAAGTTTATGTCTGCTTAATTCCATACTTGCTGCTTAAGGACCACAAGCAGTAGTACCTCTGCACTTTAATGCTATGGAAAGAAGATTCCTCTATACGTGGTTCATAAGACTGCTGTTTTATCTCATCAAACTCCTAATGCAGGTTAATGCTAACTGCAACCCCAGCCTACCTTTAAATCCTACTAGGTCATGCCATGGAAAACGTCACCTTTAAGTATTTCTAATCCCTACTTGCTGTCCATCTCAAAAAGAGGGGGCTGTGAGCCAACACCAAGAACATTTATTCTCCCAAATGTATACTTAATGTCACTCCTCTTATTGTCACTTCAATTTCTCTAGCCTCTGTCAAAGAACCATGAAGAAAAATACATTCCCATTAAGTACAGTTATTCAATCATTTTATAAACACATTTTACTCAGCCCTCTTCTCAAGTATGCGTAATTGATTTTAAGTTCTATCTCATCTGTCTCAATGGCTTTTGAGTTTGGGAATGAATAATGTGATAGGTAACAAAACTATGTTTAAATTCTGGAAAGTAAACTAGTATTTCAAACACTCTTTTAATATTTTCTTTGATTATGGAAATTTGCACTGTATTTGTTGAAAAACAGATATATATTTAACATTTTTGAAGAAGTCTAACATACAGAAGATAAAATGGACTAACTCAACATATTTTTCTGCAACTAAAATGCCTTTCAATTGACTTTTAGACCACAGTGCTGTAGGTGGAGTGTCTCTATACAGTATGGTTTCTGTTGCACGTAAGCCTCAGAATTTAGCATGTTACAGCTTCTCACCATCAAAGAACGCTCCAGCAAATATCTTTAAAGCCACTGTTTGTGTTTACTGTTAGGTCCTCCTGAACATTTAGAGTAACCACACAGCTGTGCTGCATAGCACATACTTATTTCATAATACTTATCACCAGAATAATACTGGCTGGAGTTCCTTTTTGCAGAAACTGAAGAAAGAACAAGAGATTAGCTAGATACTACTTTTTTTTTTCTTTCATTTTTTTAAAAGCATAATTTCAATTTCTCTGAATTTGATTTGCCATTAACTTCTTGATCTTTTCAACGTTTTCTAAATCTATGAGAGAATGATTTATGCAATTGCTACTCAATGCATTAAAAACAACTGCATCTATGGCAAGGTTTCTACAGTAATCTGCAATTTTACTTTTTTAAAATACAATTAATTGTTGCATATTTATGCATAGATAAAAATATATGTAACAAATGTATATATGTGAAATTGCCATGCTATTGAAACAGTTTCTGGTGTGAGTCAACTCATACTTTTAAGTGTATAGTGGAAGGTTGGTAGCCTCAGAAGATTATGAATACTCCACAAGCTATTTGGAAACAAATGATCTTTTTGCATATTCTTTTCTGTACAGCTACACAAGGAAGATGAAGATACTTCTCTTCCATACTCTACAGTTTTTTTGGTGAGGAGTAGAAGCAGACCTTTTCCTTATTACTTAATTTTGGTCTTTTGGTCTGAGTTTGTTAACCATCAATTATGTTAACCATACTCATCCAAACTAATAGAATCAAATAAACGTTGTCCAAGGTAACAAACAGATAATGTTCTGGTATTGCAGAAACTTTGCAAAGTGGTAGTAAAACTTATTTAAAGCATTTAGGTTTTTTTTGTGTCTAGGCATAAGGTAGTGTGAAATCTGCTCCTAAGATAGTCTGCCTGCATTTACAAAATTTACTTTAACTGACTCAGCGCTGAGAATGAATAAGACAGACACAATTCACATGACATAAGCTTCTGACTCATTGCAGCTACAGTACCAAGAACCCAAGTGGTCACACTGTCACTTTACTATTCTATGTTGCATTCAAAATTCACAGTCACCATAGTGTCATATATCATTAGTGTCATTTTGTCATTCGACGGTAAGTGCACTAGTGACACTGAAAGTAAACACACATCCAGTAAAGCAAATCTTCAACATATTTTTAAAAAGCACATTAAAAATAATAAAAATAAAAATAAAAACCCAAAAAACCAGCATGCATTTTAACAGTGTTTGCTCAATATTTAACTTTTTTTTTTTTTTTTTTTTTTTTTTTTTTCAGTAAAAAGAATCCAATCACTTCACTATTCCACTTCACTATTCCCACAAATTTTAGTTAAGTTATGGCTAATTATGCCTGCTGTCTAAACCACTAATAGTCTGTAGGTCTTTTTCAGTTTACAGTTTTTCTGCTTTTTAGGAGAACGATAGCCTATGTATGAAGTTCTCTCTTTCTGGACTACTATATAATGGTAGTATAAGAAGAAATAGGAATGAATACAGAGTGGAGGGAGGAAGTGGAACAGATAAGAGGACTGCATTCAACTGTTTTTAAAAACTTATTTTAGTATGTATATGAAAAACAAAAGATTTGAAACCACAACACCATTTTTAAATACTTATATGAGGCTTTTTAAAGCATAGTTGTAAACGTATTGCAGAAACAGCAGGGTGTAGAGTGTACCACATTTTCCTCTGCAACGTAACTAAAAACCCCATGAGTTCCAACCCTGCACAATACAACCTTTCCAACCCTTAGCAAAAAAAGCTCACTAGTTTGCTACTACTAGTTGTCTTCACACTATAGTTTACTTTCTTATTTAAGGGTCATTTTAAAAAAACTTAAAGCTGTCCTCAAAGCAGGAGTAATGCTACTAAATTCTGCAGCATTTTCGTGGGCAAAGAAGAATAAATACTGATGACTTTAAACACTGTGAACAAATCAGATACTGATGTTAAGCATTGGGAAAATTGAAAAAAAAATGTGATAAACCAAACTTTGAACTTCCTTGATATAAATCAGTGTAAACTTTTAATGCATTTTGTATTAAATTCTGGTTAACGATGAGAACTACAATATGTGCTAAAAGATAGGCATTGACAAAAAAGGATTGTTAAAAGGACATTTTTCCACTTCAACTCTGGCTCTTTTTCAGTACCATGGAAACACCTCTCAACTAGCTCTTCAAGCATAAATCTGCAAGAGTCTTCTGATGGCTGTTTCATGGACTAGTCACTTCAGTGTATGTGAGAGGATCTATAGACAGCCTGAATCCACGGCTACATGAGCACACACTGTGATATGCACCATTTTGTTAGTAATTTGTCCCAGAATCAGATTTTTTTCTTTAATCCCTAGTAACAACAACAACAACAAAGAATAAAACTGTATATGCACTGGAAAATGTTTTTTTTTTTTTTTAATCATGAGTGTTAATTCATCAATGTACTGAAATATAAATTTAGATATGTTTGCACATGTCCACACATGAATGAGTCCATCTCATTTTTCAGTCCAGATAGTTTAAGGCTAAATGATATTAGTGGTCATAGGCTATAGTCTTTATTTATCTAAACCTTTAGCAAGAAAAGATGCTATAGATGCTAATGCATTGATGACTATAGTCTTCAGGATACTTTACTTATATATTTATTTTAATTCAAGTCCCTCTAGTCCTTCTGGTATCCTAGACACTTTGAAAAGCTGAATTTTGGATGACTGAGCTATTTCACCTATGTTCTCAACAAATGTAGAGAACATTTGATAATGTTCCTAACAACTATAGCACATGTGCTAATGTTTTCTGTTTTGAAAGTACCAGCCCTGTGATCTTTCCAGCCATTCTTCCCAGTGAATGGCAAAGTATTAGTGTTCTCCTTACTATTTCAATTATACTGATACATAGCTGCTGACATAGGAAAATGAGATTCAGGGAATTAGTACATAATGCGTCTCATATACATTTCCTGCCATTAAACGTATGACTAACTAGTGAAAAACAGGCACAGTTGATGCATAGAAGTAT